TATAATTTATATGAATTAAACTAATCTTATGATTAAAATAGCACTTATTTAATAAAAATTTAGATAGTCTAATTAATTTTTAAATAATAAAATCAAATCTATACATAATACTTTATAGAATTATGAAAGAAATTGTTCAGGAAGCTATCAAAAAATTTTTCTAGTTCAGTGGGATATTAGGAAGCCATTAAGAAAAATTTTTTTTTCACTTTAGCGGGCTACTCAATTTTTTCAGGGGGTAATAGCACCTACGCCCCCCCCCCCCCCAGTGACGCTACTAATTCTACTAATCTCAGTGGTTGTAATATGGCTAATATGATATTAACATATATATAAGCATTATATATCTATCTGAAACTTTTCCAAATATAAAAATAGATGTATAATCATATAATGTCCATTTTGTAATGCTTAAACTTTAAATTTTTTAATACAACCTAATAATATTAGGTGAAAATATTGTAATTCTCGTCAAAACCAAGTCATGACAGATAAAAATTCAAATTGCTAAAATAAATTATTTTCATACCCAATTATGGATATTATAGATTTCTATTTTAGAACAAAATTTTAATTTTTAATTGTTACTGGTTTTAAAATAAAATTCATTCAACCGACAAGCACCTTGCGCCGATTAGCTGGTCTCACCTACTCTGATTTCTTTGGGGACCAATTTATCATGTTATATATGTTGATTCACAAAATTAAAATTATTTTTTAGAAGTTAGGAATTAACAAAAGAAAATTAGAGATTATTTTCCAATTATATCCAGCGATTGTATTAATTTAGAAAATAATTATTGACTTAAAAATAGATTTTCTAGACTGATTCATTTTATAGATTTAGTAAAAATCTAGAAAATAATTCCATTAATTATAAAAAATAAATATCATTTTTAAATCAGGGTTTCGAACCGAACCGCGAAATAGGAACAAACCATTAATTTTCTAACCTAACCGAACTTTTGTAAAAAAATATAATAAGAGCGACCCTAACTGATATAAATATTCTTGAACCAATTTAAACAGTTCACAACAGTTTTTTTTAAATAATTAATAATTATTAACCTAAATTTGAAATTGTAATTTTCCTTGGGGGCAATTTAAATTCGTGATTTTTTATCAAATTAAAATTTTTTATACTTAGCTATTTCCATATCAATAAATACCAAGTTTATTGTTTTATATACTCAATTTAATAGAGATTAGTCAAATTACTAGTTAATTAGATAAGAAATAGTCTTCATGATCAAAAGATTTTTCTCTAAGAGGAATATTTTAAAAAATTCAAATTTATAAAAACCGGAACGAACCTAAAAGAACCGTTATAAATTCTAAACCGAACCTAACCTAAATTATTCTTAAAAAAACCGAAATGGAACAAAATCTTTATAAAATTTTAAACTAAAAACCGAACCGAACTGAACAGCTGTACTTAAGAGTTTGAAACTGTGGTTTAAATAATTTGATCTTTTATATCAACATTATAGTCTGCGAGGTAAGACCCGGCAGTGCCCGGCACGTACCCGGCCCGAAAATAATCGGGCTTGGACGGGGCCTAATATTTTAAAAAAAAATTTGGGCCGGATCGGGTCGGACCTTGGGAATTTTTTTAAATATATCTTAATTTATCAATTTTATACTGAATTTTTTATGTAAAACAAAAATATTTGATTTTATTTATTGAAACTAAGCGATATATAACATAAGTCTTTTATTTTGAGTAATTATAAAAATTAATTTTTTAGTAAATTTTTTTAAAAAAAAATTCAGGTTCGGGCCGAGCCGGCAAAACTTTTTTAAAAAAATTTCGGGTTCGGGCTGGGCCGCAAAACTTTTTTAAAAAAAATTTCGGGCCGGGCCGCTTGAAAAATTAGGCCCGATGCAGGTCAATAATCAACATATCTTACATGGCAAGTTGGTCCACCAAAGAAATCGGTGTAAATATTGGTTTGTTAATTTTTTTTGATGTTATTGAATTTTTATTGATATTACAAATTTAGTAAATAAAAAAAAATGTGAAGAAATAATTAATAGGACAAACATTCTAAATGACCACTATTTAATCATTCTTTTATTTTGTACTAATAAATTCATAATAAATTTTAATTGAATTAGATACGCGCCGAATCGAGGCAGCGCTGAGTTGAGGCTGCACCTAATTAACGCCGCGCTGAATTGTCGTGCGTCAAATTTTTTGCCCCGAATTTACATGGAATCTTTCTGAACATATCATTCGCATATGAAAAATATATAAAAACTCTCCTGAACCTGATAGTTTGTGAATAAAATTGCTTCCATAATTACTTATGTTACGTTCCGAGATAACGTTAATAAATATATTGTATGGATTAAGAGGAAATTGTTAGATATTCCGAGAGAATTTGCAGAGATTGTTAAAATAGTAAAGTGAATGTTGTAGAAGTGAAATTTAAAAATAAAAAATAAATATTCAAATATACTAAAATATAAAAACTAAATATTAAATTTAAAAATTACCATACAATAATAATCAAAATACAAATTTAAATATTCAAGTACAATAACTATTCAAATATACAAATTAAAAAAACCAAATACAATAATATTCAAATATACAAATTTAAAAAATACCAAGTACAATAATACAACATCACCCTCCTTAAATATTATCTTTCTATAGAGTTTTTATCCTGTTCTCCATCTCCCCGCACCGATAAAAACGCGTTATTATTTGATGTTAAAACCGCTGTGGGACAATACCTCAACTTAGGCATCCCCCCACAGGACCAACACTCTAATCTGCAAAATAATGCCTGAAATGCAAATTTTTTAAAAAGAGAGCATTTTTCTACAAATAGTGAAAACCAAAATTTTTATGAAAATTACTATAACCAAAGGCCTAAAATAAGTGTACCAAAAGACCTCCAATAAGTTTATGGGGAAAACTATCATCAAATAGTGACACCTTCTCCCCCCCTCCTTGTCACAATCTTAGCTAAGCCTATGGAACAGAGATAAGGGTTCAAGAGATTCTAAGAGTTGGCCAAGCCTAATTTAATTGAGATAATAATTAATTTTACTGTGACGATTGGCGGAACAATTTGAAATACAAGCAAACTAATTTCTACCTTTAGGGTCAGGGACTTCTGCACACCCTTTACATTTATGAGGTAAACATATGTTGCAACCTATTCTTATTGTTACCCTCAACTCCTAAGCATGATGTTGGATATAAAAAATATCTTATGCGATATTATTTTTTATGTTGAATACACAAGGGAAAAAATGATTTTTTTATAAACAATTTTGTTTTAGACTTGGCAAAGTAATCAATAATATTACAAAAACGTTGAAAAAATTTTAAAATTGATAATGTCAATTTTCTTTAATCCAAGAAAGAAAGAGTGATTTTTAAATAGATTTTAAACTTGATAAAATTTTTGGCCCAATAGATGAGTATTACAAACCTTCAGTAGTTTAAAATAATTTATGCCAATTATAATTTACCTTTGAGTAAAAATATTAAAACTTTAAGATAAACCAAATTTTATTATCTATTTTAATTTCTTTGTTAGTTAAAAATTTCAATTTATTTGTTGTGGAATAATGAAAATTAAAACAATTCCTTTTAAACTAATCCCAACCGTTTTGTAATAATCATTTACTACCCAAACTATTTTACCCGGTTTAAAGTAAAGAATTTATTTTAAAAAAAAATATATATAAAACTGTCCAGAATGGTTTTGTGATACTTTTCTATTACTCTAAACCTGTTAGCAGGTATAAAATGAAGTTGCTTAAAAAAATTCAATTTTTCTCTTGTGGAGTAAAGGAGATTATTTTTATCGATTTACACTATATCCAAAAGGCAGTGTTGCTCGTTACTTCCAAAAGTAGCGAGCCAAGACTAAGGTTTAAAAAAAGTAACGAAAAATTTACCGGGTTTTTTATTTTCTGGTATGGTGAATTTTTTTAAAATAATATATCTATTCTTAATTTTTATAGTTAGTAAAGAAAATATTTTAGGCCCGGGCTGAGTATTGAAAATTTTTTTAGGCCAGGTATATTAAAAAAAATACATGGGCCGGGTCTGGTTTAGGTGCAGGTCTCTGATATAAATATTATCAATAAAAAAAAATGAATTTTAATTTTAAAAGTATTTTATAACAACTGTCCTACATTTTAGTATATCTCAATTTTTAAAGTGGATTTTGAAAATTCAAAATAAAAAAGTCTTACTCAAATTTATTTCAAAAAGTTTATAGTATATAAATTATAAAATAATTAACTCTTAAACATATGTCACTATATTTAACATATTTACGTTTTATTTTTAAAAATTATATCTGCTTTTTAATGTTCATTGTCATTTTTCATTTATTAATAATCTTTGTAATGAAAAACAAATCACAAAGGGTAATGTTTAATGAATATATTTATATGTCCAATAATCTAATATCTGTACAAGGTGGCCGAATTTAATAAATTCTCTAATTATAACTATAATTAATATTTATAATTCAAGATATCTAAATATTTTTTATTATAAATTCACTGAAACGCTTTAAACCTGGGTTCAAAAAATAGAACTGATGACAATTCGGATTTGCAAAATTTATCTAAACAGGATTCAGGAACGGTTTTTGGTTTGAAAAATAAATCCAAAAACTAGGATTCGCTACTCCGGGTTTAAGTTCGGTAGCTCACCTGCGGTATTCTGCTTCCCCGTTTTATAGGGAAGAATATCATTCGTGAGAGTGAAAGGGAGATATCTGACAATTCATAAATGAATGAGCTGAATTTAGGTATGCAATATTATTAATGATAAACTTATCAATGGCAGAAAGCCATTTAAGGCAGGGACAAATTTAGAGTCCCTTGAGGTCCCGACCTTTAATTTAAGTTTATATAAGATTTTAATGATAGATTAAAAAAATAATAGTTTTTATGATTTGAAAAATTATTTTTCTGAATATATTTTTTTTCGATATTGATAAATATTAAAATATTTGTCATTACTTCCATCTGTTTTATATTAAAATTAGAAATGAAAACTTTTTATATAATAACAATATAAATTTTTTTTTTATGATGAACAATATATAATTCATAGGGCTTCAAAAGTAAATTCTTATTATATAGTAAAATTATCTGAATAAGTAAGTGTATTATATTGCTTTTTAATATTTAGTAATTATATCTAATAATTATTAATACTTAAAAACTATATAAATTCAAAAAATTTTAGATAACTTTGGACTAATCTAATTTATCTAATTATTTTCTATTCAAATAAAGTGCTGAAGAAATCTTAAAAATCAAATAAATAAACAATACTATAGTGATAGACACATTTATAATAATCTATTTTAGATATAAATTATTTCTTATAAATTATATTTAAAAATAAAATAAACGAGGCGCTTCCCAAAGATGCTATAATTGTATGAGATCTCCATTTGACCTTTTCTATCCATTGTAAAACACTTAGCATCAGCATTCAATTCCTAACACTAGTTTAAAATTAGCGCTTGAGTTAAAAATAAGCTATTATAATTGTTTTCAATTTCACCGTAACCAATCCATCTTATTTTGGAATCGCATTTTCCAAAGATGCCATAAAGTCTATTTGACTCCTTTATTATTCTATCTTTACTAAAAATTATATGAAAAGCTACAGCCATCGAGTCTCATATTTGAAATATGATAAAAATTTATTTTTATAATGATAGTAATCTTTTTAGATTTTTCGTTTATTTAATTTTTTTATTATAATTGTTTTAGTATTCTTAGATCCTTCATTTTATCTTGATTCTTGATATACAATTTGGTAATTCGTATTTTGATCATAACTTTATATTATTTTTTTACTGTTTACAAAACAGATTGAAGATTCAACTAAAATACTTGCTATGCATTAGATATTGATATTGGTAAACTTAATGCTCAAGACTTCATGTGATGTAGATTCATATCAAAATGAAAATATAACTCGATTCAAAATATAATGTAATATCTATAAAGATCATAGAATCATAAGATAACAATATTTTGAATTGGAGAAAAAGAAACCTTAATGTATTTAGACGTAATTGAATTTTGAATTACAATTTAAAAGCCTATATTTAAGAATCGGCCTGAGGCTTGCCATTATTTTTTTTCGTTTATAAGTATATTTTGTTTTATTGACTGCAAAAACAGATTGATGAATTAGTAGGAACAATCAGGCATTAAATATTAGTTCACCCAGATATTTAGTGCTTCAATTTTACTTCTATCATGTTGCTTCTTGGAATTTTTTTGGCAATAATGCTTTGTTTTTTAATTATTTTGCCAATAATGCGTTGTTCTTTAAACTATCTACAAAACGAGAAGCAATAATAGATACTCATTAATTATTGATATAAATTTCATCAAATGTTTGGCTGATTTAACTAAGGAATATATATCATCATTTTTATTTGGCTTGTATTTCGGTTACTTTTTTATGGCTGGCAAAAATGATTGAAGAACTAATTAAGGCATTAAATATTAACATAAACCAGATACTTAGAACTTCAATATTCTCCGTTCTGGCATGATACTAATTTTGACGATTTTTTTCTTAATTTTTCTTCCTCTTTGAACCATCTGCCAAGCACAATAAAGCAATAAAACACCTATGGGTTAGCATTATTTTCATAATCTGTGTTTCCAAAAGCTTGTCTAACCATGCTTAAAGCATGATGTCTAAATTTTCAAGTACTGTACTATATACTAACGCCAACCAGATATTCAATTCCAATTTTTTTTCCAATGACTTTTTTCTTTATACTTTTTACCAAACGGATCAAAATAATATACAATTAAGTACTAAAGACGTGTCCTGGTTCGTTTTATTTTTAAACTTACTGTTCAGCCCAGGCTAGATTTTAACTTAGGACCCCCTATTTTGGTTCTTTAAATGTGTACAAGCTGGCCTATTTAAGGAAGACTTAATCACTATCGATAAGTTCACCTTTTCAATTTTTAAATCTAAATAGAATGAAAATTGGGCAAAGAGCATAATTTTAAAGATTCAAAAAGTTGTTCTATTAGTACAATATATAATTTTATATTTTTTGTAATTAAGTGTCTATGCCATGCCTTGGTAATGGTGTTTTATCAAGTAGGATAACAACCAACTTCATAGTGATTAACTTATAATATATGCAAATTAAAACAAATTGTTCGAATAACCTATATAGTTCAGTTCTATTAATGACAGGTCAATAATCGGAAGGTCTGATAAATCTTGGAGAAATTTTTTAAAATTATATGAAAATGAATTTGATAAAAAATAAAAAATACAGGAACTGTAAAAAAATTGAATTTAATAGTTAGTTACCGGAATTATAAATGTACAATAAAATAAATATAACTAGCTATTAATAAAATGTAAATGCTAACTTTGGTTTTATTTTTTTGGAAGCTATATGGATTGATAAATAGAATATGTTTCGAAATAAGATGAACCAGGACACGGCCTAAAGAAAGGCATACATATCATTATACTTAAGTGTTTGGTAGTCATTATAAAAAAATTAAAACTATAAATATATAGTTATAAATTATAGGGTAGTTTTATATATATTATATATACACTTTACCTTTATATCGTAGAAATTATCAAGAATTACTACAATTATTAGTAACCATATGATAAAATTTAAAATGAAGACTCTCGAAATATCTAAATAAGTGACATTAAGCTTTTTTAAAATCCAGAGATATATTTAATGAAAAATAATCAATAAAGATGGTTTCAAGTTTTATGATTTCTTATTAAAGCAATAAACAGAAAATTTAAGAAAAGGAAACCGTATTTATTAATGAATGATCATAGTAGCAGGCTACAATTTAATCATTAAATGCAAAATAAAAAAAATATATTATTTAACAAAATTAGACTCCAGAATAAATATTCTCTATTTTCTCTGTCCGGCCTAATAATTATTTTGCCCTGCCCGGCCCAAATAAATTTTTTTTAGACGTTACTTACCCCAGCCTAACCGGACCAGGCAATGCAGATCTCTAATGATTACGCAATAAATATATTATTTATAATGTTTGTATCATTGCAGATAAAATATAATTGGAACATTTTTGATATGATGATATAATATATTTTAAAAAATATATTAAAACTTATATAATAGGGGGAAAATTAGGAAATTTTTTATAGTAGTAGTATAAAAATCGAGTTGCAAAAAGTATTCGTCAGAGTATTTATTTGTGCAAAACTATTCGTCAAAGTATTCGTATTTAAACACTTATTTTGGAAATTTTTTATTAATTTATTTATATTATTTTTTTTATAATCAAATACTTTTTCTGGAATGTATTTGTATTTACATTCAAGCATTTTTTAGAATTGTCCAACCCTGGTCGTGTCTTATATTTTTATGAAATTTAAGGATTATTATTATGCTATCTAATTGAGATTTTTAAAAAAATTATAGAAAGGGAGGGGGGGGGGTTGATAATTTTCCTTGTAAATGATACAAGTAGAGATCTGCAAATCAGGGTTGGGCAGGACCGGGTCTTTTTAAAAATAATTTGGGTTCGGGCTGGGTTGGGCATAAAATTGTAAATATGATATCATTATATTTTATCAAATAAATTGATATATTTTAAAATTCTTGCAAGAAACAAGACGCTAATTATTTTTATTTGTAGAATATTTTATTTAGTATTAAATTTTTCTATATTTAAATATATTCGGGCCGGATAGGGAGGTCAAATAATTTTCATTTGTATTTCAAATTGGGCTTTTTGGGAACCGGGCCGGGCCTGAGAAATTAGGCCCGATGCAGATAACTATCAGGGAGTACTCTACATGAGATTTTAGCGTCATTGGCTTAGGGGTTTAAAGATACCTAAGCCGAAAGCCTTCGTTATTTTAGTTTTGCCATAAATGAAACAAATATTTAGTTCTATAAAATAACTTGTATAGTTTTTAATTTGCAATATCTTTATATGTTTTTGATAATTTTACCATATTAAACTGGATAAATGAAGTCCAAAATAAGTGGAAAAAATGGGATTTGAAACAAAGGAATTAAAGAGTGAGGATTTGCATCCGCAAGGAGCATATACCTACCCGTTTAGCACGTTATATAGACGTTAAACCCACAAAAAAAACAAATCAATCGAATAATTTTATATTCTTACGAATTGAATAATTATTTCGTATTCTTTCGAATCAAATATTTCTTTGTTTGAGTACGAATAATAATTATTTGATTCATCGAGTATTCAATTCGAATTGAAAATTATTTTTTTTTGAAAAAATATTTTCAAAAGGGAAAAAATGAAATATTAATTTATATGGCAATAATTAAAAAATTAAAAGTTTCAATATTTATGTAAATTTCATATATTTAAAAACAATATCGAAGTCTATGAATAAAATCGAATATCGACTAGTTACGAATATTGACTATAATTTTGAATAATATATAATATCTAATAATTTCACTTATGAATAATTTCGAAAAATCAAATAACTTCGAATAACGAAAAGGTTATTATTTGATGAATAATTTTTTCCGTTAATCCGTTATTTCTTATATTCTGTTCGTTATTGGGTTATTCCTACTAGTTACGAATAAAATCAAATAACTAAATACTTCAATAATGGACCCCTATGGTATCACATATAACATTATATCAATAATTCATGTGCGGTCTCTTAACAATATTTGAACTTATCATGCTGTTTTGCTTTACATAAAATTGGTTCACATTGGATTAAATTCAGTTTCGATATTGCTGATTGCAAAAAAAATTTTGTTTTAGTTTAAAAAAATAACATTTATAATAAATGCTATATAAGTACAAATCTGGGTAATATCATTTTAATTTACAGATAATTTTGTTTATTTAGTAATATATTTTATTTTTCTTACTGCTAAAGATTTTATATTGTTTTTAAATAAGTTTTTTAAGGGTATAATTTTTATTCGTGATTTTATGAGTATACAAAAATTAACTAAAATATTATATTATTTATAAGTTGACTATGAATAAAGGGAAAGTGTCTGGAAATCAGATAAATATTTATCCATTCCAAAGTGATTCTTCAAACAAAAATGTTAAACGAGGAATCCCTCTGCTCAGAAACAATGATCATCAAACAACGCCAACAGTAATATCTAAGATGAATTTTCAAGATTTAACTTTCCAACCAGCAAATCAAGTTATGCAAGCTAATACCCAAGAAATGTTATCTCAAAAAAGAGGTAAATAAACGATATTTTTATTTATTTATTTATTAAATTTTTGATTTATCAGACCGAACGTAATTTTTTTTGTTTAAATAGATTTTTAAAATTACCCCCCCCCCCCCGTATCAAATTGAAACAGAAGATTTATAATGATTTCAGATATCGTCGGCCTAGAATTGGAATGATCCACTTGCGCAAATGTTCAAAATGAGAAAATCAACATTATAAAATCAAATATAGGAAAACCTTATTGATCAATTTTGACAAAGCTATAACTTTGGCAAAAATTAAAATTTTTTAATCTAGTTTTTATTTATATATATTGGGAATAAATAAGTTATTATCCACTTCTAACTCAATGATAAAAATTATGGACTTACAGGGTTTCCCATTCAAAAAAGGAAAAGACCCATTCAAAAAAGGAAAAGTTTCAATCATAAAAGGAAAAGGTCCTATCAAAAAAGGAAAAGGGTTAATCATAAAAGGAAAAGGCCCGAACAAAAAAGGAAAAGTGTCAATCAAAAAAGGAAAACTCTTAAAAAGAAAGGAAAAAGTCCGATCAAAAAAGGAAAAGTGTTAAACAAAAAAGGAAAAGGTTCAATCAAAAAAGGAAAAGTGTCAAACAAAAAAGGAAAAGGTTCAATCAAAAAAGGAAAAGTGTAAATTGGAAAAGGAAAATTACCAAAAGTAAAGGAAAAGTGTCAATCAAAAAAGGAAAATTCCCATTCAAAAAAGGAAAATCGTAATTTTTTAAAATAAATTACTAATTTTTCAATTTTTCTTAAATTTTTATTTATTTTTGTCATTCCTTCTTATTTTATTTCTAACTTTTTGCTATTTCTTTACTTTATTTGTATCTTTTCTCAATTTATTTTTCTTAATATATCTTTTCTCACTATATCTTTTCTCAATTTTTTTACTTCTCATTTTTGATAATTCTTTTATATTTTAAAATAATTTATAAATTTAAGGTCCATTTATTTAACAATTCTTTACGTTTTTTTTTCATCATACATACAATATTCTTTTTATGATTTTTTCATTGTAATTTTTTAGATATATTTCTAACCTTTTCAATCTCTTCATTTTTAATCTTTATTTTTTTGACCTATTCTCAATTTCTTCTCATTTTGATAATTTTAAAAATAAAAATTTAAGAATGATTATTGTATTTAATTGCAATTCCTAAATTAAATTAATCGTTTGGTTATAAATGTACCTTTTAAAATTAAATAAGTTTGAACTGTAATACCAAACGATATGTAAATTAATAAAATATAATCATTTTTAAATTCTTATAATTGAAATTATCGAAAATGAGAAGAAAAAAAATTGAGAAAAGCTCAAAATAATAAAGATTAAAAATGAAAAGATTAAAAAGGTTAGAAATGTATGTAATAGAAAAAATCATAAAAAGAATATTGTATGTATGATGAAATAAAAACGTAAAGAATTGTTAAAAAAATGGACCAAAATTTATAAATTTTTTTTAAAAATGCAAATGAATTATCAAAAATGAGAAGAAAAATAAATTGAGAGAAGATATAATAAGAAAAATAAAGTAAAGAAAATCGCAAAAAGTTAGAAATAAATTGAGAAAAGATTCAGTAAGAAAATAAATGAAATCGCAAAAAATTAGAAATAAAATAAGAAGGAATAATAAAAATAAATAAAAATTTAAGAATAATTGACAAAAAATTACGATTTTCCTTTTTTGAATGGGAATTTTTCTTTTTTGATTGCTTTTCCTTTCCTTTTGGGAATTTTCCTTTTTCGATTGACACTTTTCCTTTTTTGATCGGACCTTTTCCTTTTTTGTTTGACACTTTTCCTTTTTTGATCGGACTTTTTACTTTCTTTTTGGGAATTTTCCTTTTTTGCTTGATACTTTACCTTTTTTGTTTGGGCCTTTTCCTTTTATCATTGAAACTTTTCCTTTTTTGAATGGGAAACCCTGTATATCTAAAGAATTCATATTACAATAAAGCGTTGTTTATTCTTTTTTATTCGACTATGAAAATGTTGTCCACGGATCAAATTTTTGTGGGTAATTTGAAAATATCGCAATGCGGCGAAACGATAACTGTTTAAGGTGCAGTTTACTCCCCTTCACGATTAAAAGGGCGGAGAAGAGGCCGCTAATAAGCAAATATATTGTCGGGAATTACAGTAAAATAAAATAATAAATATTTATAAATTGGGAATTAATATATTATCAAAGTTAAATAAAATAATAAATATTCGAAAATTTGTAATATCATTAAATATAATTTTTTGGTAGAAAATAAATTTCAGAATTAATATATTATAATATTCGAAAAGATTATTATTAAATATAATTTTTGAAAGAAAATGAGTTTCATAGAAGAATTATTCGATATTGGTTGTATTAGGAGGAAAATAGATAGGCTTACAAGTGTCAAAAAATTATTTGGGGATATTGTTATTAAAGTAATCGCGGATATTATATATTCATTAATTCGAAATCGTTTTTCAGAGGGATGACGTGATGCTTCTATATTATTCAAAAAAATATAATGATTCGAGTATATGAATACGTTTTCGAAAATTAATTCGTGGTGGTATATTCAATTGTAATCGTAAATAAAACGAATTGAACGGCGTCCTCCTATGGACAAAAACGCTGCATTTCATTATTCTTATTCGTGAGACGAATCAAACGTCGTCCTCCTATGGACGAAAAAGCTGCATTTCTTATTGGAAGTTCTTAACAAAGACGAATCCAATGGCGTCCTCCTATGGACAGAAAGTCGAATTTCTTAATTTTTATTATAGGGGTAAGGTGATATGAAATATTATGATTAATGATGATATGATACGAATTTTCTGTCAATTAAAAGCAGGGTTGGCATGTAGGTCAATTGACTGGAGGAATTTTTGACCGGTCAAATTCAGTCAAATACTCTAAAATATTATTGGCGAATAAATATTTTGATATAAATAACTAGTAACGCCATTCGTTACCTTCATCTAAAGGTAACGAGTAACGGTAACGCGTTTCTTTTTTTGAGTAACGGTAACGCGAAATGTTACTTTGATCGTTACTTTTTATTTTTTCTTAAAAAATATCAATAAAAAGAAAAACATATTTTATTGTATCAAAAAATTATTTTTATTTATTTTTTATTTTTTAATTCTTAATATTAATAATTTAAGCCGAGTTTTAATTCATATCAACCACTTCCAACATTTTTTTAAAAATTCTCGTTGTTAAATTATCAATCGAAATTAATATTCAATCAAAATTCAAAGTAAATATAATGATATTATTAATTAATTTATAATTTATTTTAAAAGAATATTATGTCCATAGTACTTACTTCTTCAGATGAAGAAGATTTAACCCTTCCCTGGCCCCAATTTGAATTATATTTTAAACCAATTAAGAAAATTAATTTTACCTCTACACTTTGTAAATGTAAATTATGTCTCAACGCAAATATTTCAACGTCAATGTCAAGTAGCTCAAATATAAAAAAACATTTGAAGGTAAAGAATGAATTAATATTGATTCCTTTATCCAACACACACACTAGAATATTTTCTAATAAATTTTTTTTGATCAGGAAATGAATGAAGATCTCTGTGAAGATGATCTTTCAAGCTTTTTTCAAAATAAAGATATTTCCTTAAATATTTTTATAATTCCCCGAATTGAAATTTTTGTTTATTAAATATAACACCACTCTCCCAACCTCTGCGCCAATTGAACGTGTGTTTAGCACGGCGAAAGCGCTCATGTATATCTGATCAAAATTTTGAAAATCAATTGTTGTTAAAAATAAATAAAAAATTGTTACATAAAGATGTTATCTTATAATATATTATTTTTGTATAATTTTATTCATAATATAATTATACTAGTAGATAGCCCGTCAAAAATGACGGGGAATGAAAATTTTCTTCTTACTTTTATGCTAGATGTTACCTGTTATTTGAAAATAATATCCAATTTTTATTCTTTTTACCCCCTCCCCCCTTTAGGCCAGGTTCAATCCATTAAAACTAAGTGTAAATACTATGGTTTGAGTAAAAATAAATTTAAAGCATTTACTTGATAATACCAATATTATTTGTTAAATATTACTGATTACTTATACCTAATATTTAATATTAAGAAAAATTCCCAGGCAAAGTCCAAAGCTTAAAAATTCTTCCAAGCCCAATGAAAGATCATAATAATTTTGGTAGTTGAGAACTGAAATAAAATATTAAAATAATCATAATGAATTTAAAAATACAATCAAAATTTAGATTTTCATGGGCCTTGATTTTTTGATCAGGTCAAGCCCATGCCTTCAAAAAAATTTGTTTTGGGCCAATGTCTGACCTATAATTAATAATAAAAAAATTCTCAAGCGTCCAAGCTCATAATAATTTTGAAAAATTTTCCCCAAGCCCAGCCCAGTATAATTAATAAAAATATTTTCCAAGCCCAGCCCAACCCATAATAATTTTATAAAAAATTTTTCTCAAACCTGGCCAACCGATAGTAATTTTCAAAATTTTTTCCCAAGCCTGGAGATAGGTAAATCTCTAAAAACCATATCTATTTTTTAGTTTATTTTAACCCAGCTCACCCCAACCAAGGCCAACTCATTAAGACTAAGAGTGAATACTATTGTTTTGAATAAAAATATATTTAAATTAGATTTTACCTGAGGGCCATATAAATATTCTGTGTTAAATATTACACCTATGCCTAATATTAAAAAAAATTCCCAAGCCAGGTCCTCGCACTTGGTTTTCTCAAACCCGCAAAAGACCATAATAATTTTGATAGTTGAGGACTGAAATAAAATATATAAAAAGTCACAATGCATTTAAAAATACAATCAGAATATGAAAGTTGCATGGGCCTTGGTTTATCTTCAAAAGAAATTTTCAGGCCAATTTCTAGCCCATATTTAAAATTAAAAAATTTACAGGAATCTTAAACTATAATAATTATGAAAAATGTTTCTCAAGCTATGTCCAAGTCCAAATGGTGAAAA